GTGTGTCAAATTTGAATAACAACTTGTGATCGTTTGACGAGTGATTTCTTGACGCGACGGTTTATTTTTTATTTTATTTTATTTTTCAAAAAATTCATTCTTGATTTTTATTTTATTTTTGAGTTCTAATTTTCTATTTATTAATCTTAATTTTTATTTTATTTTTATTTCATTGCAGTCATGCGTGTTTTTCACATATCGTATTACGCCATGGACAAGTAATATGACGTACAGCAGGAAGAGTTTTCATATTGACGCGCTCTGGGTTTTGCGCTGTTGCCACAGCGAGGCATTGTGCACTGCATGATGAAGCGACGCGGATGGAGCCCGCAGCTTGGAAGATCGGATGTTTGTTCCGGCGGCCCTAAAAATGGGTCGCGAAACCAAAAGAGATCCCTCTTGAACGGTGCGGGTCCGAATCTGTCGCGGCAGCGATTCTCGTCTCCATTAGCGATGGCCGGATGCATGAAGCTACAAGATGTTCAAAGTCCGTGATTGTTTAGTTGTTATACCAAATCGTCTCGCAATAAGCTTTAGCGACTGATTTAGCGGTCCCGAACGGTGACACACGACACGACGGTGACCGTATGCCAGACCTCATAGTTTGTGGCAAATGTCAAGTTTGTCAAAATTAATTTAATATTGGCAATTTTCTTTGGGTAATTTTGGCAAAATTGGTATTGTGTGTATTCTAATGTGAGAGAATGAATTTCAATGGTTGTCACCATCGTATTCCAGAAAATGCATGATATCATAAACAATGGAGTCATGAGTAGCTTCAATCATACAAGAAAGATATACAGAATACTCATAAATAAGAAGATTTAGCAAAGAAAATACATTACATATATTTTACTAAGGTCACATAATGAAAGTTGATAGATTGAAATCATTTATCAAGATGATTGATATTTCTAATAAGTCAAAGAAAAAAATAAAATTTTAATAATAATAAGAAATAAATGTCTACTCTCAGTTAGCATTTGGATGAACATGTCAAATAATAATGCAAATCAAAATAGAATGCATAAAAGATATATATGTTCCAAAATCATGGTTTAAAAATTTTAAGCATAGAAAAAATGTTATGAATTAGAAATTCATTATACTTTTTAAACATATAAGTTGAAAATTCAGATTTTATAATTTATTATAGATTATTTAAAAATTTATATCTTATCAGATATTTGTGTACGTATATACCCGGACGGGATACAGTCGAGGTTATTCTGGCCAAAAACCTAATATTATTATTAAACCAATTACCGGCGCTCCCTGATACCGGGACAGGATGCATCTCACCATTGCTCCCTTCTGGACTCCCTTACTTCACTGCAAGCTAGATCAACCCCGACCGTATGCCTGTGGGCTGACGGCATACGGTCGGGGTTGATCGTGACGGTCTCTCCTTTGTCACCGTTGCGTGAGATTTCACCCGTCGAGCGCCCGTCTAGAAGCCCGCTCGATGCATTTATTTAACATGACATTCGCAGCGATGGTGCTGTGTCGATCAGAGGTTTAGGGTTCACAGGATTAGAATTCACGCAGCCAGCTAGTGTGATCATTCCTCAGACACGGTAGTAACTTCTGATAATAAGGATTCCACGGAATAATGAGGAAAATAAGCACCATTCCTGTGATCGAGGCCTAGACATGAATGAGTATAAGACAATCACGTCTCGAAATCAACTCTGAACTAAACACACGCTGCGATTTACCAATTTCCTCTGAACTAAACACACGGCAGCTCAGGCCTTCTACAAGAGATTACCGCACAAAGCCTCTTCTCTCGCTCATTGTATGGGTTTAGCCTGATCCACCATCGCCAATCGGAGAGACGAAAAGTCCAGCGAAACGCCAAGCCCCCGGGTGACGGTGACAATAAAACCCCTGGATGAAGGTGACACGCGAACGGTGTACGTATTCCGTCAACCCGAATGGAAAACGGTCGGGGTTGATCTAGCCAAAAGTGTTGTTATAGCTTGCGGTAAAATAAGGCAACTGGGGGACGGACTGGAAATCGGAGGAACTGGCATGTCCTGCAGTCGAGGATAGACAACAATTTGACTTTCGCCTGGTCATTTGGAGTGCCAGACGGGACGTCCACGTGTCGGGCATCTGCAGGCGGGCTGCGGGCGTGGAAGGAGGTCTCGTCAGGACCGACAAATTCACCTCTTTGGGACTTACCTGTTCCGTTATTAGCAAAAACATCCGTCTGAAACCTCATGCATACATTGAATTTAGCCTCTCGATTTCCGCATGTAATCAATCCTCTGTCTCTTCAACAATTACAAATTCCACCATAGAGATAGAGAAAGAAAAACATGTTTCCGCCGGGGGATAACAATTCTTGCACATTATTGTTACGTGAACTAAGCACACAATCCACCTGGTCCCCTACAGAACATGGCAAAGCTGGGTTGAGAGGTAGTGTACACGTCAGCGGAAAGAACTCCTCGCCCTCCCTTGCCTTGCCTTCAACTTAGGTTCGTCCCTGAGTTTGCGGCTGCCTGAGGGGGCGGGGCCCACCCGTCAACAGATGACATGGAGTCCATTGGTGGACATGCTGAGTGTAGGGATGGGCTCGGCTAGCCGGCTAATATCTTTGTTAGACTTTTGGCTAGATCAACCCCGACCGTATTCCATTTCATATGAGCAGCTGACCTCGTCCCTCGAAGTGTACTGCTGACGATAATTCTGAGTATGGACCTCCACCCACATGAACCTTCCCTCCCTTCCCTCTGTCGCTGCCCTGCGGCATCGCGATTTTCTTTGCACTGTTTGATGCTTTGGTTCTTTACCTTACCTTGTTATCACTTCCTCCTCGTCTGTATGTAACCATAATCGGTAGCAGTGACCCAAATACTGTTCTGCCGTATCTCGACTGAACTGTAATGCGTATAACTTTCTCTGATCTGATGGTTCTACATTCTTAATCCCTAATCACACCAGAGGTATCAAACTAGAAGTGAATGGGCTAGGATTCAAACAGACCTTTCACATATCTAATGTAGCAGTGACCTTCATATGACAAATTGAAGACAGTGAACAAGTCTTGTCGAAACCTCACCCATATGAAAACAATAGTTGATGTGAGTCAACAATCTTTGATGCACGGTAAAATCAAATATATACAAACCTTCAGCTTTGCATGAGTAGCATGGCACACACTATCTCTAAATCTATGATGATGGTCGGCTCCATAAAACGAGAATGTAGAGTTTCTTGAAACTAAAACATATAAAGTTTATATCCAATCGTTCAGGGCATAAAATACAAGCTAAAGATCATGTTGTTTCTTTGGGGTAAGGCAGTCCTCATATCGTGACCTTTCAATCACATTCCTTTTTTACATCTCATATATATATAATTTCTCAAATGTGAAATAATGGAGATTATATATATGTATGTGAAGTAAGAATCGAAAATATGATAGAAACTATTGGATGAAAAATACAGGAGAGAAAAAAATACACACCATCACATGTTTATAAACAATTTTTTAACATGCAATCCATCTTTAAGAATTCTAGTATCCGGGTAACATAGACAAAATTGTGAGCTTTCACTTAGACTCTAGATTGTGAAAGTGATCTGTGAATATTATACATTCCTACGGATGTTTTACAAGAGAACAAATGATCAAACAATGTCATGCCATGCAACTCAACACCTTCATTCAAACCTGAGGTGAAAATGGATCTTCAAATAATGAAAGGCATGTCTAATGTGACTCGCAATGTGTTTATCATATGTAAACAACTGAGGCACACAATTGTACATTACCAATGTTGTAGAGAAAACAGTTTTAAAATGAAAATGAAGATGCTTAATATGTCTCTGAAAAATATCATCGACGTACAAGACGAGTAGAACACACGACTTGACATGGCCAATCCCTTGGAGAAAAAAGAATTATAATGAACAATTGCAAATGAGGATGCTCCTAAATTTTCTCCGTGTCAAGTAAGAACGTAAAAACGAGAATCAACAACTCTTACTCCGGAATAATGAGTCGGAGGCATACTTGAGTTGCAGGCTTTAGAAGAATCACAAGCGTGGCATAGCAGAGCATCTTTTGCTGGTTCGATCAAAAGGGAAGGAGAAAGCAAAGTTGAGGTTTCATCCTCAGAGTGGACGGAAGTGTCATTCCAAAAGTCTGATTGGACGCCTAACTCCCTGATTATAGGCAGGCATCCAATAGAGGATCGGTGGTGGTTGACGAGCAAGGACTTCATCAGGTTCCAAAAACGCATACTGAAAAGGCTACCAAAGTACAGATCTCTGAAGAACTCAAAAGAGGGTACCTGCTGATCAAAAGCCAAAGGAATATGCAACTGGTGCCCAGGCCATTTATTGTATATATGTGGACAGACGGGTAGGCCAGGCAATGTTCATGGACTCATTGATACACTACACCATCATTGATGTTTATCCTCACCATAACCTTACCTTCAACCCTCCTTTTCGCTGGAGTGGTACTTCAGGTAGAACGATGTGACACCTACAGTGCGATATATTCTCATCCAAAGCATTTGCCCTGAGATCACCAAGTGACCATTGAGTAAAGAGGCTCTTTGACTGGTGACTAATCAGGATGAATGACGGACTGTCGCTGTCAGGTCCATCAGTTACCAGTTGATACTTTCAGGTGGTGGATATGACTTTGCAACTGGTTCCTCTTCAATCGTGTTAGGCAGAAAGGGTTTAGGTAATGATAAACGACACTTGAAAAGGTGCAGCACACCAGAACAGATCTTCGCAGATGAGAGTGGGAATTCAGTGATTCTACCATTGAGGAGTTCCCCAATTATGGGCAGAAGAGAGAGGTGAGTACGTAATGAGTCATGTCCTCTCGCACATCACAACTTTGCCGACCTCTGACTTCGACAGAAGACACTGAGTATATGGTTCAGGAACAAACTTGTCCGAGTTTGTATTGTGAATCCACAACACAGTTGAAGTTAATTATTCGTCTTTTCACGCGGTGTCCACTATTTGCCAGAAGAAAATGCTCTTAAAATTTATTAACGTCCTCTAATTCAAATGAAAATCAAAATACTGGTTACTTCCACCAAGTGCCAATCCGATCATATAATGAAATCGTTGGATCCAAATGAGTCGATTCTGGGATCCAGAGTGCAAAATATAAGAGATGTAATGGTGTCGTGAGCAACAGAGCACAATGTCTATGAACAAGAATGGAGGAAGTTGGCTGGCCACAAACTCCACGATACTGCAGGAGCGGTATCTTTGATTGGATTGGTCAGGTCCAGCATTTGACAAAGACGCCCCACCACAGGTGCGAAGAAGTTAGGCTAAAAACGTGTAAAAGTTGGGACACGTTCCACTGCAAGTCTCTATTGGCAGTGGAACGTCGAACGTTTCGGTTTTTAATAAGGGGAAAAGAGGTATTATCTCTGCTAGACTGACACATTTGGATATGATGGAACGCAATACCTTTAAGACGCAAGGGCATTTAATTTCACAAGGAGCTCAAAAAATCTATCCAATTACAGTGTCAGAATCGATGTAGACGATATATTCATCTGGATATCATAATCTACATCGACAAAAGGTTTTCCTCCCGAGGTTGGTGTCTCGAATAAATTTACATACACAATTCGTCCTCTGATCTCTGGGTAAGTACTTTCATTCGGATCCAGGTTCGGCACCACCTTCACTGCTGTTGCCTTCACTTTCGCCATTCACCGGAGGCTCAGGCTGCAGAAGCACGATGCTATCCTGTTCCCGTTGAACTGGGGAATTTTGAAGACTGAACACTCTCCAGAACAAAAGGTATGAGCATAGGAAGATACCATGCTGTTCTCATGCACACCAATACTTTGGTGAAACGGGAATCGCCAACAAATGCCAGTCACAGATATGGACTTCATGACCTGTCTATCACACGTTCTTCACATCTGCTTGCTTACTCAATAGGATCACACTACATCATAACGTTCCAAACCTGTCCTTTTCCAAACGTATAACTAATAATGTCCCTCTCAAATGCATGAATGGCAAAATAAACTCTTCTCGGATCAAATCGAGGGTCTACGACCTCCACTTCCTACCGAGTAACCTCGCAGGCTTACTAGTGTTTACAAAACTGTACTGGAAAAAGAGCTGGTGATTTGGCCACTCAATACACTAGCTCTTCGCATATCCAGTATTTTCTAAGATGCCCAAGCTGATTTTAATTTTTTCCTTGACGTTAGGGGACCCAAAGAGCCCCCTACTCAAACTGAAATCTTGGGCGACATCCTCGTACTAGGACATTGCTTTCTATAATTCATAAGAACAGTTGTCGAAGTAGAATAGAGGTTGGTTACTCGTATATAACCAGTAATCGCCTAGTAGTCGCACGCTAATGAGAAAAATCGTGCGGGTATGAATGATATCAAAAAAATGGAAAGGAACATATGCAGAATGGCGGCTCATCTGTAAAATGCCAGGCTTGATAATCGCCAACAACCCTCAGCTCTATTTGTATTGGATGTGCAGTACTGACTTCCGATGATCAATGCACATCTAAAAAATGTAAACTAAAGCAACCAATGGTACAGATCACGTCGAAATATTTCAATAGACGTCTCTCACAACGTAAGACCAAACAAATCCGAGGCCTTACTTTGTGTTGGATTTTATGGTCCGACGTCGCCAGGTAGCAGTGCCACAGTCTAAGCGCAGCTCCCACGTTGGCCAATAATGCAGATCCTGCTTTAGTGTAAGCACTCTTGGCTTGCCATTTAAGTGTACCGTCTTAACACGAACAAAGGCTCCATGCTCTGAATCCTGTCATCTCAAACATAGACCAAAGTCAGTACGGCAGTTGACACACCATTCAGCCATCCCGGATAGGCACTGGCCAACTCCTATATCAATCATCGGGTTATAAGCCCAGTAATTACCGTGTCACTTATTCGAAGAGTCATTCCCACCGTCAGGTAGCACGTCACTCAGGTAATTCAAATACATATTTTACCCACTTTGCAGATTGTTACCAGTTTGACGAGACGTTAGTACACCCTTTTCTCCAGAGCTACATCACCATTTATAATTTGTAACAGACGAGTTGTACGCATTTAATGACCTGGGCTTGGTATCTTTACTTTCAAAATTGGAAGAAGAAAAAAAAAAACCCTTGTTCAAGTGTCCTCTGAGCGCTATTTAAATCCACTTTGAGAACGCCGCAAACTTCTCCGCTCACCCTATGACCAGACAGCCAGTGGCAAAATTCGAGAATCACCTCAGTTACTTCTATAAATGTCTGCAAGTCCGGTGTTGGTCTTCCATTCACCTCCACGATCCATTGCAATGCATATAGACCATATCTATGGACAGGACTACCCTGGCACCACCTGCAGACATGACAGAAAACATCAATAGTGAAATCTCAATACCAAGACAAAGGACATGATACTCAAATCTGGTTGAGTAAAGACTTACCTTGCCACATAGACCCCGTGACCTTCCTCGGGAAGAAAGCCTAATGCTCGAACTGCTGGGTGAGGATCCTGTATTACACATCCTGCCCAGTTCACCATCCTGGTAGTACCGAAGCCGTCACGTACATCCGTCTCCACAAGAAGCTCCATCTCGACCCCCTATCGTATCGGCAATCACGAAATTAATAATGACCCACTGAGCGCCGATTCGTAACAGTGAAATATAATAACAGCACAATTCCAAAAATAACTTCGTCTTACTTGTCGAAACACAGTAACTTTAAGGGCTGCTCCAGCTTCGTCATGAGACGCATCCGCCCGTTGACATGCATTCTCAACATCGCGGAAGCATGTAACAGGCTCACCGCTAATTGCGAGCAGCATGTCACCTTGCTCTAATATTCCCTCTGCCTTTGAACCTGCAAGGCAGCCCTTGACACGAAGAACTTGTCTTCTGACAGGATCTTTCTTCACCAAGGCCTGCAATATTTCCAAGGTACAATACTTACGTATCATCCTTGTCGGTTCTAGATTTATCGGAGTATGATCTAAGCATGATGTTAATACGGCAACATTGACGCAAAAATTTCACAAGGGCTTACATATATGTTACGCTAGCTTACACAGTAACTACAACCAAACCCCCACAAGGAGCTGATAAATGAACTCACCAGGCACCAAGAGTTTCAGAGAGAGCTCTCTACCCAGAGAGCTATGGAGTATACGATGGAAACCTCAAGATTTCTTCGTTGATTAATACATATCCTATGATAGAGTTAACAAGACTGTTGAAACTCACACTGGAAAAATACCAACTTCTGACTGGTTCGATAGACGTCCTAAACTCCAAGCATAAAGTTGAAGAGTATGTTTCATCTCATTGGTTGCCATGCTTCCTCTCCAGACAAAACAGCGCTGGCCAGATACAAAGGACTACATCACAAGGATACGTTGCAAGCATACCTGAACCCATTTGTCGCTGAGGCCAAAGCTTCGAGCCTTGGAAAGAAGAGTGGGATATAACTCGACTTCTAGGATTCGAATCAAAGGCATTGATCTCGTTAATCCATTCATCAAAAGAGGTGGACCTCCTTCGCATCCATTGATTATCTTCTCCACAACCTCACTAACAGGGTAGACGGGTATTCCACGAACAAACTGGTGATCCTCAGGAGAGCTGTCACCATACTTCACCTGAATTACAATATGCAAGGTCATGATGAAACACATTCCCAAGTCACTCTTTCTGCCCAACTGGAAAATGATGCGCGAAGAACATAATTCAACAGCTGGTGTGCGCTGATGTTATTCCACCAAGAAACACAGAACGAAGGTAGAAATGAGACGGGAGCTTGACGTCGGCTAATTCCGTCTCAAAAGTTCTAAGTGCTAAGATCCATCATAGCTTACGATAAACAACTGGGAGGAGACATTAAAGTCACTCGCTACTACAATGCTCTATCTACTTCGGCTTCAATCAATCCTTGACTTAAGAAAACTAGGACCAGGTAAAGAAGGGAAGTGAAGGGAAAGGAAGAGGGTGCTTGCTTGCCGTCTGCAGCTGTCTTTTATATCCAATTTACAGTTACTTTATATACACATTTTTTAAGTGATAAATAAACAACTAATAGAAGTCCCACCATCCTATAGTCTAAAGATTCCAACTTGTAAAAGGAGCGTTATACGAGTAAAGAGCTACCAACTGGACACACCTATTGAGATAACTCAACAGCATTCACAGCCACGTCAGAGATAAGAGCTGAAAGGCGGTGACAATGAATACTATACGACGAGACGTATCTGATCAACTAGAGTAGGCTGTACTTCTGTTCTGTACAGTGTACAGGACATACAATCCAAGTTAACGACAGATAAATAATTTCAGGTTTTGTTAAGCGAAGGAGTCAACATTTCGTAAGTACAACATTATGATAAATCGGAAATGGTGTCGGTGCCCAAAAAACTTTGGGAATATTAAGATATATCTTTTACGTGCTTATACTGCTGGGCAGCTTGCTTAACGCTGTTATAAAATCCAGTGGCAAGACTTGACTCTGCATCGCTTGATAGGTTTGTGAGTAAGGACAAATATCAGTGAGTTATGTGAGTCTTGTCTCGTGTAGCAGCAGGCTGAGAGATTGTAATGAAGGGTTTTATACTTAATTCCAAGATGAAACATATAGAATTCTTGGAATCAAGATTCTTGGGATACTGAAAATATAACAAAGGACATTTTTACTACAACCACGGAGACTCAAAGAGCATGTAGAGCTCGAAGTACAGGGCGAAGGACGGCCTTCTTCTCAGCATTACCTTTAGAACGAAGGTGAAGATGGACAAGACGGTAGCCAGGAGCCTACAGAAACAAATTTCCGTGGGGAGGTTTTTTGCCAAGTCCGTATTCACTTCATCTATCAACATTCGGAAAAGTGGTTTTGAGCATACATTTAGGAAGACCCCATGGAGGTACATCCGTTTGTTGTCAGACGATTCAGACTATCTCCAAAGGTAACCAGTTCCGATCTGCTTTGTACACTTTACCTCTAGAAGGTGAGAGCATGTGCAGTATCTTTTGGTTTAGCGCTCTTGATCACGGCAGAACCTGGTGTATAAAGTTATGTAGAATAAGTCCAGGAGCCTCACCTGGATATAGAAATCTTCATCTATCCCCCACTGTAGAGATAGAGAAACACATGAAGTTGGATCACAAATATGAGTGTACTAAGCCCTAAAAGGGCCGACACCAAAAACCGACCATGACAGACAGACCCTACCCTAGGGAGGGAAAAGAGAGAGAAAGTACCGAGGACTTGCTACGCTTCGACGATGACCGTCTCACCTGATATATCATGGAACTGACGATCAGACGCCTAGTCGGGGATGAATCTCGTTCTTCTCTCCTTTTCTATAGAACCTAGCGTACTAGTACATTCAAATAATTTCAAGAGGAATATAATAATAGCAGCTGGAGAGCTAAATTCCGGAATGCTGTCCTAGACGAGCACGTGACGCATAAACATGTAAGGGCATAGAAATAAAGTACCTGAGTGGAAAAGCTCCCCCACAATGCCTGTACTCGCCCAAGCTCATCGGCAAGAACTCCTGAGAATGCATGGCCAAAATCTACAAGAAATTCAAGGTGACACCTCTTCAGTGAACATCGTAAGTCCTTATGAAAATTAATTCTTTGTAGAGAATGCTTTAGAACACTTCCAAGCATTTCCTTTGCATTTCCAGGATGTATCCTCTTCATTGTGTCTAACTACGTGGGTTAGCAATCAAGCCCAATCTCAGAAGTACAGACCAAAATCTGAGGTCAGATACAACCTACTCACTGCGTCTCCACATAAAATATAAAATTCCAAGCACCCAATCGAGTTTATTCATTCGACATAATTGTCTCCTGAAGTGGGACTAATCAGCTTGTAAAACCTCCAAAGAAGTTGTCCAGACGCAAACTCTGACCTGTATCGAGTTCAATAACCTCCATGTTCATCGCCCTATATCGGGGGCAATCGGCAGCACCCACGTTAAGGGCGGCTCCTGGATTTGTCACAACTGATTTTCTTGAGGTAGCTTGAAGACTCCGACTCAGTCCAACAAGGTAGACAGAGTCTCCCCTCCGCAAAGCAGGCTCTATTTGAGGCAAAAAGAAGATGTTAGTTCGTTCTCTACATTGATGCCCTTTCTTGTAGTTTTTATTACAAAGCGTATTTCCTGTGTTGTAAGCTGACTGTTTCATACATGTAAGCTGTATATCTATTCACCCGTCACAGAGGAACGTCAATGCAGACGTCAAAACATCCAGGCAAACATTAGACAAAGTGACTGTTTTCTCTTTGAAGTACATTTTTCTAGCATGTGCAAGTTGAGAACAAAGTTGACTTCAATTGATAAATTGTGCTCTACGACTATAATCACAATTTGCGATCCCAGATAATAGATTCTAATTAGGATCTCAAGACCCCGCCTGGGAATTTGAGATGTAAAACTTAGCAATACATTGCTGTTCTTCCCCGGATCCAGAAACTCTACATAATCAGCTGATACTCCGAATGGGCTATACCACTGGAAACACGCCAATATGATCTAAATCTGCTTGCGCAAAGGCTCAGAATGCAAAAAGTTTGAAGAGAAAAGACTAATGAGGTACAGCCATAGGGACTTCGGGAATGGACTCCGACAACCAGGATTTACCGGGAAGAAGGACTGCTGCTTTGACAGCGGCAGCCCCTGCCGGTCCAAGGGCAGATGGATCGTATGCAACTATGGCAAAGTTGTGGACGGGATGTAGGAACACTACCTGCAAAAGTGCAACATCGAAGGGATTCAAAAATATTGATGTGAACGTTGAGAACCTGTTCAACTGATAGGGCCCTCCAGAATTTCCAATAAACTTTAAGATCGAGAAAAAGCAAACCTCGGCTGGAATTTCCATTGGATATGCAGCGAAGGCCAGCATGACATCGGAAACCGAAATCGCCACAGTATTTTTGTCAACGACCACCAAGCCCAAATCTTGCGAGTGGTGGACGATTAAACCGGTACCAAAAAAGTGTTGCGAATGGACTCCGTCAAGCATAGCCGAAGGAGGTATATGTACCTGCCAAAACGGAACAATGTAACGACTGGGAGTTAATCGCAGTTTTTCAATTTGTTGGTGGAGCTGAAACTCGGTGCATGGACTAATCAGATGGATCCGGACTTCGGACTGAACAAAAAACATTGCCTGCATGAAGAACGTCTTTGAAAGTACCAACCTCTATCATGACCAAGGTTGGTTCAATAACGTGTTCGGCCAGTGACGCACTCGACCCATGAGCTCCGCCTCTTTCGTCTACAGTTTGAGTACTTTCCACCGTTCCCCTAGCTGAAAGTGTGCCTCCTTCTACCCTTCCAGAAGCGTTGTCCGTTATAGTGGTAGCATCATCCCCAACAAGTTCTTGAACACGGCGTCTTTTAGGCTCAACCCTCCCAATGTCGGCTTCAGTTGGCTGACCGTCCAAGGCGACTGCTCCAACTACCTCCCCACCTTGCAAAGTTGGACTTGTACCGCCGGACTCTTTGCTAGCGACACTTGCCCGTAACACATCACCGTCTGCCGCACCAGCTTCCCCGACAGGTGACGACGTCGGTTCAATAGTTTCAGTCTTCTCATCGTAGGGTGCATCAAGCGGGATGTTGGGAGAAGCTGGTGAAATGGATGGACACGGTATGGCAGGCTTCGAATGCCATAGGCCAGTCGCATCATTGCGAGTATAAATGAGTGGAGGCGCGTACCATTCATGCCTATCTATGGTGACAAGCACAGACTGGAAACAAGCCCGGCTTGCCAAATTCGGCAGCAGTGAGTAAATCAGTATCTTCGAAAAGCCACAGGACAAGCTATTGAGTCTAGAATTCCTCCAAACCTACAGTCTTGTACCTCTGGGCACATTCAAAAACAATACGCTCGGAAATCTCGGATCCGACAAATAGCACCAATTGTAAGGAACTAGATCAACATGTCGTGGACAGATTTGAAAAATGAATTCTCGACTAGATTCTCCGTTCATCCACATGATGGCAGAACCTGTACCTTGCTTCTGTGACGATCCGCGTAACTCTGAAACTCCAGGGGAACACGAGCTCCTCTAGCAAGCTTGGCATAAACTGCGATAAAATTCTCTAACTTCAAAATCTCCTCCCCGGCCATTTTCTTGATAATAGCATGCTTTGGAACCCCGGCCCTTGATAACATGTAACTGCCAAGGAATACTAATCAGCATAATACAAGCATGGCCTTCCCTCAAGCACGCAGAGAGGCGAGGAGCAACTCGACATGGTGAGCTCCGGTTGAATCACACGAAACCACCATGTAATGACATATTACAAACAATTCATATTCAAGGGATGTATTGACCTCCTTAAAACGACAAAAAGGTGCAGAGGATAATGGAAAGCGCATGCACTCCAACCATTATAGCGTGATAGGGAGAAAGTTCTACCCAGGTTCAGCGACGTAAACGAGTCCACAAGTGAAGCGGAAGTTCCGTGCCTGTCCAAAAGCAAAACATTCGGGTTTTGTAACTGCTTAGCGCTTGGCACCTTCAGCGCAAAAGATGTAATGCGGCAGATTCAAAGGCGTGCTAAAAGGTAAAACAATTCCAAATATAGATATGACCATAACTGACGTTTTTCTTTAAGAGCGTCTGTTCATAACATCTGATAGCCTTCGCAGTCAAATTTCTACTACAAGAGCCAAGTGGGAAGTTTTAGTACATACCTGCTGATATGAGAGAGCATGTAGAACTCCACCACTGACTTCCAAGAAGTGGCTTGGTGTGATAGAATGCAAGTCTTGGACCTGAGCGCAAAAGCGTTATCAGATTGCATAACCTTCAGCCCCTGGGTGTGGACTCTAAATTTGGCCACAGAGACTCGCTCACAATGAGCGCTCGCTCGAACTTACTTATCACATAAACGGCAGTAAACACACGGTGTCTGCTGATTCAAAGCAGCAGTTCATGAAGTATATCCATAATTCATCAATGAGGTACATGATCCCGATAGTGGGTACACATAGTAGTTTCCTAGTTAAGATTTACCTTCAAAGTCACATTCACAGTTAGACCACCCCTTTCAACCTCAAGCTCAAAGTCCTTTCCCACATTGTCGTCCAGCAAGGTCTCCAGTTTTAGAAACTGCGTAACCACCTGTTTAGAAAATGAGTACTGAGTCAGCTTCGGAGGTCCGCAACCCTTCACTAACTTTTCAGATCTCTCGACATGGCGCAAGTCCTTCAAGTGGGTGTTAACCGGATTCACAGAGTCATCTGTTGAAACTAGTGAAGTAAGGAAGGCGGAAGACCGCTCGATGTCAAAGCCTGAACAGAAATTTTCTATTGCGGAGGTATGAGTAGAAACGTTAGCAAATATGGGATGGTAGGTTAGATATTATAACGGTAGTTCTCATCGAAAGAGGTACGATACGCAAGGCTTCGTCGAGTGTCTTTGAGAATCTCCATTTTAGCTACTAAAATGTCAATATTGGTGAACACTCGTAAACAAACCCACATCCAGGGATTTTGAAATATGACAAGACTGAGATGACTTGTCCTAAGTGAGAGAAGGCTGAGATATACTTGCTCCGATTTATATACTCAAACCGCAGCTCATTTTACTTACCTCACCGTTGACACGAACAAGCACATCTCCCGGTTCCAATTGTTTGTGCGCAGGTCCCCCCGGAACCTAAAGATTTAGAGAACATGTCATTGGCTCACTTCAAAGGCTCCGCATATGATACTCAATATCAGCATTGTGAATGTCGAAATTATGCTTACCACTGAATCGACGACAAGCATGCCCGTCTCGCCAGCTGGAGAAGCTTCTCTGACTGTCTGCATAAACAAGCAATATAGTAAGAAGTACACTCACAGGCAGAAAGTCGTACCCCTACCTCGGTGAATTATTTCATAAACGAGTGCGAACAGACTGGTCATATCCAGATGAAATTAGATATATCTATATAAAACGTAGATTAATGACAGCTCTAACCCTCCAACTTTGCAGTTCCTACTTAGTGGTACGCGGGCCTATTTGCAGAGCGTAGCTCTATGGCCTTCAATCTATGACAGTCACATACTATTCAGTGCGGTTACGTGTACATAATGAGCTACAAGAAAGCCAAGGAGAACTCTGGAGTATACTGCGATAACCATGAGTGTACCTGTTCTGTGTCTCGCTTCAAACCTAACCGTCGCGTTTCATCATATCCCTTGTGTACATAAGTCATCTATACAACAGTAACAAATGAAAAGATCGGTCCAAAGCCGAGAGGAAGACAATCTGTGAGCAATAATATTATCTCTAATCTTTTCAGCAACTGCACAGAGAAAAGCGCGAAAACTTCTCCTCAAAACAAAGTCACATAGTTACCTGGAGAGTACCTCTAGGGATACTTGCTGGACGCCATCCAACTTTAGATTCATCTTTAGTTTGCTGTAAAGATTTCAAGGCCCTAACAACCTGCGTGCCATGGTTTGGCCGTCAGCAACTAAATTTGCAGAGTAAGAATCTCCGTTGCTTTCCACGAAGCATACTGATAGCCTTTAACAAGAAAATCAACTCAGAGAAAAAATATATACAACAACCACATTGCTTCTGAATAGATTTGCAGTATATGCATTGCCTTTTTTGATTCATAATTGTACTTACTCGCTCTAGAGGAAGGAAAAATGCAGAAGCGCTAGCCGATTTGCTGCCGGCATTGAGAGCTACGGCACGACCCTTGCAATCAATTACAGGGGAACCACTTGAACCCCCTTTAGTTCCTGACGCTGCCTGCAAGTTGAAAATCACAAGATGAACACGGATTGCACATGCTACACAAATTATCCATCGACAGATGTATCATACAAAATGTTGTACGCTGAAAGAAGCGTTCGTCCCTAGTCACTTCACAGATCCACGTTTCGACTCTACGGTGTAGCTTAGACTTCGAAAAATTTCAGACACAAAATGCGTTCCACCACTTAACTACTGGGTCAAACTCAAAATATTCGAAAGCTAGTGTCCATTCTACTTTCATGTGCCAAAGAATTTTTCACCAAATAATCACCTGCATGTAGAATGTATTGAAATCGTTGTAACCGTCTCTGTAGAGGCATTTGTTTCAAACGTCAGTCTAAGCGCACAAACGTGAGAACTCCAATTCCTTTGCCTCAAATGATTCACTAGTTTTACAAGGCATTAAAAGACGAAGCTACAGATGTGTTCTCAGTTCACGAAAAAAACAATCCAGATTCGTCTTCTCAGAACTACACCATCCAGCCACACAAAATATTCACAAAAAAGACTATATCAGCAAATGCATACACTAGATGGAGACTTAAACCACTTTATGTAACCAATCTTTCTGTGCATCAAGTACCATCCACAAGAACAAGGCAAAAGACTAATCAAGTTGAAGTTTATACAGTTAAAGCTGAGTAAACAAGAGAGCTAATCCATAACTCTACCTCTTACTTTTTATAATGAGGCGCGTCCCGATCCAACCGGGCGAGTGTGCCGGCTAGTATCGACACCTGAATCAACATACAGAATGTTGATTTAGGCGGGTCAATAAGCGACACAATTTCAAGTGTCAAATTTCCTCTTTCGCTGCTGGCACGCAACGAAGACAATGCTTTGAAATTACCAATATAAATTGACAAGAGAGTTGACAAATTGACAATCTACAGGGTCCTCATGATGAATTCGTTCGAAACACAATATAGAAATAAGTTGAAGCTGTTCTCTCTCCATGCCACTTCAGTATGTAAAGGCCCAGTTACTTCTTTATTAGAAAACCGTATTTTAAGATCAAAAAGAGTATAAATAGCTGAAGAACCCGTACCTTCTCACCACTATCATTCCCTACCACCCGTATCTCAAGGCCGACCGTTGCTGCTTCCGGCGCCAGAGGAATTTCTTCATATTCCATGAATTGCACGGCTCCTGGATCAAATTGTAGAAACCCAAAATCATGGACCTGTGTAACAACAAACAACCAACTCAAAAAACTAGTAACGGTTCATATAGTGCAAAAAAGAGACTAAGATTCGTGATACCTCAATATGTTTGATCTCTTGAGTAAGAACCAATGTATACTCAGAAAGTCCGACAACTTACAGGATCTCGATACACAGGATAAACAGGAATCTCTTCACGATTAAGAAACATAGCCTCTGCCACGATTGGACCTGGCAGACATGAAAGAATTCATCCACGTCTTAGCTCGCATAGCTGTAATGATTAACTCGACAGAACGCAACGGCAAGATTTTTCTGCTCGTGCATGTAATAAACACGTGTTCCAAAATTCAAATTCTTGAGGATCAGGAACTCACAATTGTGGAAACCTCAACAATAAAGAGATTTCTTTATAGAAAGAGAAGGCATGTAGACAAGGGAAATGATGTCGAACAGTGAGGAGCAAGTACATACCGCCCCAGACACACAAGCTCTCTTAAGAATCTTGTTGTAAAGAAACGAAGACACAAAATGCAAGCTCCAACGCGGATAATTGCCAAGAATTCTTTTCTTTTAAATTTCATCAAGACTATGTGGACATGACATTCCAAAAAATGATTGCAATTCCAATATGAGATGTGAGCCCATGAAGATGGGAGAGGAAGGAGTTTTCCGAAGAATCAATGTTACACACAAAAGCGATAACAGACAACTTCTCTGTGATATGCAGAATTAGTCGCGCTTGCAAGCTGCAAGCTTTTAGGCCGTCACTTACTTTTTAAAAGTGACCAGAAAGATGGAAATTTCAAACAGCAGATCAAAATTTGCATCAGAAGAAGTAGAGACGATTGTACGCAGAGATGGAGCAGATTGGAAAAAGAGCAACCCACATATTATGCCACGTAGAATGATCATCATATCTTACTCGCTTCTTAGTGCTCAACTGACTTTGATTGACAGTTAATTAAATTGCGTACATTACAGACAAGTACCTGGCCTGACAACATGTCGATTTGTTAGAAGAATTCCCCGACTCTTGTCCACAACAAATCCCGTGGCGTAGCTGGCGCCTGCAGCTTCAGTATCAAATGCCCTTGTTGCTGTGGTTCGAAGCACAACAACAGCTGGAACAACCTTGTTCAAGGCATTGCGCCAGTCCTCCGGGGCTACATTCCCTAGTACGGCGCCGTTGCCCGGAGGGTCAATCTCCATGCTCAGGACGGCCTTGCTAAGTGGCAGAGCTGCCACGCTTTCAGTTGCCATTCAGATTTCCTCCTCTCGAGATTGCGGGCGAAGAGCTGTGCAGAGCAACGAATTGAAGTTGCCACTATTCTACTTTTGCGTTCAAACCCCTAGCTGCATCATCTTCATTATGTAAGTAATATTCCCATACTCTGTTCCACAAGCGTGGTCGTGAAACTAGGACCCCAACAAACTTTCACATTCAGCAAAAGTTTGATCCGCAATATTTTCCCTGCAAACGGGTGTCATCCACCGCATTCTCCGTGGCTCCCTCTTATCGCACCGCTTGGTCGAGCCGAATGAACATGCGAATTGCAAAATAGATGGACCAAGTTCGAGTCAATTTTGAGGCGATGCGACCTGGCACACGAACCACGACAAGGGTGAGTTCCCAACATATATCAGAGGCTGCACGGAGGAAAGAGTGTAGCGACCAGGACTCTTCGGTACTTGCAAAACCAGGAATCGAGGCGCACATGATGACTGCCTTCCTCGAGACGCGATTGATTCACATCACCTCGGCCATAGTAAATTACCTTTGCTTGGTCAAATACATTTGTACGCGATTATGTCACACCATTCCAGGTCAATCGCCTTCCGCGTAAAATGTACATTACTAAAATACATTTACCTTCACAACTGAGGACATTGACTGCAATGGGCACGTTCGTCCCATCTGCGCACCTGAAGTTCTGACTGACTTCTAATCAACCGACGCATTAAGAAACCGACCCTCCACTACCTCCGCATATTTACTGGTCTCTGGTTTCGTATACATACCTTCCCAGGGTCATACATAACCTAGGCCAATATTCCGTCGAATAATCTTCGACGTGGTGAACAAAGAACACTTGTGCCAACCAATTGACAAAAGAACACCCCAACCCCTACGCCCTAGTGACGAGTCATCAATCAGGTCAGACAAGAGTTGCACGAAAATTCGTCACTCTCCGCGCACTTTCAGTCTATATCAGCGACATGACGACTGCGAACTGGAGCGGACTGGATTGAACTGCACGGCATGGCGCGTACGACACAATGGTGCCAAATTGTGCAATCTATCGCAAGATCCATCCAGTGCTGTACCGCGTGAGCCACTCAAGAAATATATGGTCAACCTTTCCCGACGCAATCAGTGATGAATCAGCACCACTTCCAAATACATACCCGTAGCCTGCTGCAGCTTTTCTTCACGACGCTCGCTGCCACTCTGACCGATCTACCAGAACCACAATATCCTGGAGAAACTAGTTAACCATACAGGAGCTTCAAAACCAGAACCGGGTTGCAGGGGAAGCCCCCAACTGACCGATCAGGGCCCTCTCCACAATTTGGTCGACAATGGCGAAGGTTCCTTGGCCCTTATGTCAGTCGGTCATGATCCAACGCCCCTCGTGCTACATTCGAAACGAATACCATATCTGGCCCCGTTCCTGCCGCTTCCCTAGCCCACTCGCGGCCTCCAACCGGAACCCCCAAACCAATCCCAATCCCGATGCCAATCCTAGACCTCAGGGGATTCTTTAATTATTCCTTCCATCCACAGCAGCTTCGCGAATTACAGCATGAGCCGTTTCATCACACACACACACAGCCTCCATTATAATGTACATACCGTCTGCAGGCGTGCCTTGGTGCCCAACGCGTTCTGCATCACCTGCCGATCTACGGGTACTTTAATATCTCAACCCTCCTCACTACTGCTCATGACATGCACATCCACGACACCCATGGATTCCAGAGTCCCAGGCCCAGACCCGCATTCAACCATCGGCACCGGGCTCCAGCACAGCTACCTCCACCACCGGATCAGTGCAGCAACTGCATCATCATCAGCAGCATCAGAAGCTGCAGCAGCACCAGCACCACCAACGGATGAGGCAGAGATGGCAGCAGCAGCCAGGAAGGAAGCCTCAGCGCAAAATACCCGCTTCCTCCTTCCCTCCCTCCCTCCCTCCCTCCTCCTCCTCCTCCTCCTCCTCGCCCGCCCGCCCGCCCGGAGGCAGGGGCTCTACCAGTGCGAGCAATTCTGCTCGCTCCCTCGCTCTTCTGCCCGGGCCCTGCCTTCCTCCTCCCTCTCCCTCTGCTTCTCTGTGCCCTGCTCTTCTCTGCAGCAGCAGCGGCAGCAGAAGCAGAAACAGGACAGCGGTGATGAAGCCCAGGGCACAACGACAGTACACTGTACTATCTGCAACGTACCTTACGCGCGGTCGGCGCGTCACAGGCTGCCAAGTAAGGAGCCGCGGACGTGACGTGCTGTGCTCTGCTCTACTCTACTCCGGCGCCGTGGTTCCACTTCGGTCGCTCGACTGCGCCGTCGCGGTACGGTGTTCCGGACGTCGTGTACTGTACGATGTTGGGTTTGCTCACTTGGCTTTTCTTCCTTCTCGCTGCTGCTGTTGTTGTTGTCATCGCCGCCAACGCGGTGCAGCGCGACCACCGACTACGTCGAGGGGAGGGATGAATGACGCTGCGCCCGATGGCTCGCGTGCAAGATTCTGTAACCGTGCAGATATCGTTATAGTCCGAGATATTGCCGGGTCATACTTTCGTCAGAGTCCACTCCATCTTGCATTTTCTTGGTGGGATGTCGCGATCTATTTCACATCTCTCTTTCTTTACCTCTCCTTCTTTACTAGTACACTTCTGAATCTACTCTCTGCGCCTATCAACTTCATGTGGGATGATGCATACGGTTAATCCCTTGATAAATCTTGCTGGAGGATTATTGTATTGAATTTTATTTCCAACACAATCTGCCCCAACCAAACAAAAAATGCCACATTATCTGCTTTTGAAACATTGTCCATTCTCTTGCGTAATTAGTGTGGACAACACTTTTTTGGCAAGCCCTTTCGGAAAGGCTATAGCTTAATTAGAGTGAGCCACACTACTGCTTACTTGATGAAGATCCGCGCCACTTGACAAAAAGCTAAGAAAAATGAGTTTTGCATCATGAGGAAAGGGGGAGTGGACTGGTCAAGAGGATTGTTTGAAAATGAGGAAATCGAGAGTTGAATCATGATGAGATTTTAGAATGTTTCGAGACTTTCAACCTCTTTAGTACACTACATGTTGCAAAAGAGACTATGATATCTCAGTACAAAGGTGACTTATAACATATTTCTTCCTTTCTTCCTACAGCAATCGTCGCAATGCACCATTTTTTAAATTAAAGTTCTCGTCAATCTTCAAGAAGAGTATGAAGAAAATTTCTTCTTAAGATATGCTTCACCATCTGCTTATACTCTACATAGACTTGAGGTAATAGTAATCCATCAAAACCAACTCTATGCATGCACAGTCTCTACTTATACTCTCCATAGACTTGAGGTAACAATAATCCATCAAAACCAACTCTATGTATCTACAATCTTTAGTAATTCAAACGACAACTGATCCGATGTATTATATCCTACTCACAGTATATACGAGAACTTGAACTTGAATTACTTTTTTACATCAACTTTGACTGATTACTTGTACCAAACAAATTGCAACAAGCTGCACAAAATGCATGTACTATCATCGATTTTTAGCATATTTGGCACTAAGAGTGCTTCCTCAAAATGATCAGTATTGTTTACTTATGTCTTGCAGCATTTGCTAGACATAAGTAGATGCGATATGAGTGTTATAATTTGCAACATTTATTGAAGACAACTTCATGTTCTACCTAGTTTATGTTTCCTTAAAAGAAAGGTTTACATAAATTTTACTCTCAATATGGCATTCTTCCAGATCTCTTTTTTTTAGTATATGACAAGGCAACAACGCATGTTAGATAATTCTTTTGAACACCATCAATAGTTGTTGAACTATTATTATTACATATTTCTCTATTTTATAGTGAGGAATCCAACTCCACCAAGAGGAGTTGGATACTCCTTCTTGTAAAAAAGTTATTGTTTTTATTCACATCTTCTCAACTACAAAATGAAGAGTATGAACAGAATTTGTTTTTATTATAGATTGAATATCATACATGATTTAATCAAATCATTTCAAACAATTCTAGCTAAATGTCACTTTTAATTTACTGTAATGTTGTCTTTAAATTATTCTAAATTGACTTGTCCATTCTATAATCTTAGAATAATGTAACGATTTTTCATGAAAATCATCTAATAAGTTTTTATTCAAAGACCAAAAATTACCAAATCAATTCTCAATTTTGCTCATAAATTGGAAAAAAAAAATTGAGATGCAAAATGCTGGAACCAAAAACATTGCAACAATCAGAATTAAAAATATCTCTTACTTTTTTCAACTTGAATCATAATTCTATAGATTTTTCATTTAACAATACAACCTAAGCTACTGGTTTTGATTCCCCACAAAGGTAACTTTCACCAACATCTTTTTGTTGATATATACATGAAAAAAACAAAGACCTTGACTTTAAGTTAAATCATATGTAATCAATTCAAATAATTGGTTTTTCAGTGTAGTAAAATGTTTTCTACGATTTCTAAGTTACTCAAAAAATGCTTGAGAAATGAAATAAATGTTTGTAGCAAGTCCTTGCAAGACTCATGATTTATAATCAAATGAGAGTTCTCAACATTCTACCCAAGATCTCATACTCCTCTCCCTCATTCTCAGATTCTTCCTCACTTATTGACCTGATGGTTTCAACATCAACCTTTGTAACACTAGCATGAAAGGCAGCTACTTGATTTAAAATCTCCCTTTGATCAAAAGCTACAAGGATGTTGTAGTACATGATGCATTGCTATCACTTTTCATGTATAATAAACTATGCTGATTGTTTTCATTCACAAATTCTTCTTTAGTTGTACATACATCAATGATAGTGAAACATATGGATTGTAGATATAAATTCAAATCCTATTTTCAACCAAAATCTAAACCAGAACATTGATATCGAATACTCTTCATATTTGCATCTTATATGGTGTAAACCAAACTAGTTCACAAAATATTAATGTATGCACTAATCGGTGAAAACATTGTAGCTAGCTCAGACCAAACATCTTATTTAAATATGTAGATTAATCATTTTCACCTCAGTTACAAATATACTTGATACTTATGCAGGCTCTAGAAGAGAGAAAATTACTTGATGGTATTCATAAAGCAAAACATTTGCTAGGATCCAACACAATTTATTTTATCCAATAGAATTCATTCGGAGGATCCGTAACTTACCCTACCATGCAATCCACCATCATCCATGTTTCAATACAATTTTTTGTAAGTTGAATATAAAAATGTATAGACAATGAACAAAAACATGACTATTGACAATGCCCACAATGTTCAATAAGAACAAAATTATAAATAACCCTCCAAAATTTTACTTAAAAAATAGTTTCACAATTAATTTGTGTGTTAAAATCATCAATCTTATATTATACCATGGTTAAGTGACATATGTTATGGGCAATGAGAATTGATGTGCGAATGGATATCTTATAGTAAATTGATGTTGGATGTTATGGAATTTTGCCATGAGATATTATTTTACATTTCTTTCGACAATGGCCGCGATGTCGATCCGAATGCACTCTTATCTTTCTTTCTAATGATAAACTCGACTCCATTTTGACAGATTTTAATTTTGATGTGATTGTGATAGGGTGATCGTGAGTACAAATAAAGAATCTTTTTCTTCATCATAATCTTAGTCACGAGATTCGGACTCAGATAATGATGAGATGCAAGGACATTGACAAGGATAATGATGACATTCAGTCTTTATGAAAACATGAAGGATAAATGCTAATGAGAGACGGTGTTGTTAACAACTGATTATCAAATTAGGATAAATATGTTGGTAATCACTCATGGATGAATCGCTTCTCTACAATCATCTTTGAGCATGTCAACAAGCTCCGTGCACTTCAAGATCCAATGTTGAAATTTTTAGTAGGTAATTATCTTTCAAAGATTATTTTTTTACATGTTGCAAGAAACTATTAAGTTACTAGGATACAAAAACTACTATTAGATTATGGGCGTTGGGTGGTCCCATGAATATATTAAATCATTTTGGTATTTTTGTTTTGCAAGTAAAATCAAGTTATTTTTTTTACTGCACAACATCTTCATGGTTTAATTATTCACCAGCCCAATGATATCATTCTACCATGGGATGGAGTACGATTCATGAATATCGAGAGAGAAAAAAACTTCTTGAATCTTGTAATAACCACGCAGTCCTGCAAAATTTAGGATACTCCCGTGTAGATGCTCTTCATCCTTGCATCCAAAAATCCGGTCCAATGGTTTCTACTATGGTTAGTATCTCGATCCATGTCGTTTTAGTACGAAGCCGGTCTTATCCAAAGTCCCATATTACAAATATCCCAACTCACCCAGGACACGAAAATAAATTGCGTTTTACTATCGAAAGGTTATAATTGCGAATCTCAATTCTCGCAAAGCCACCAATATTTTCATGACACGAGTCAATTATGTTGTCAACACCACAGTGCCCGAGCCTTTACAAACACAAGCTGCTCCGATCCAAGAAACTAAAGGAGAACTAGGATCCCGTTCATTGAAACACACCTTGACGGCGTGATCTGACACTCAAAGTTCTATATTTGCACTATGCTCACACGCATTAATAAATCCACCATGGCATTTTGAAATTCCCAAGTCCATCTTTAAACCAGGATCCGTGGAAAAGGAACGAAAATTCTACCTTGGGAATAGATTATCGACCTGTCTTAATGCGTCAACTGCAAGCACTCCATGCTTTGCTAACCACTGTTATGTAGATATCGCGATTTTTAGCAAGAATTTCTAGGAGCCTACATTATGTCCATTTAATTTGTGCGTGGGAGAGGAATACGAGATCCAAATACTATACGTACACGGATACATTGAGATTGTTATGGGGCATTTTGACTTCTAAAACATCTCTACCGTACTTAGAGTTTCATGTACTGTTTTGACGAAGAGGCTCGATTGAAGAATGTCTGAAGGTCATTCTCACATGTCATTGAATGGATTTGAAAAGATGAGGTCCACATAAAAACA